GGCGGTGCTGAGGGGAGAGTCCGCCCCCTGAGGAGCCGGGGATACGCCGGCCGCGAAGAAACCACCAACCCACTGCATTTATTTATTGGCAACATGAACTCTGTTTATTTCGGCGTTCAGCAGAAGACAAAGCCCTCCGTTAAATCTAAGTCAGTTTTCCACATAAGCATACTCATACTGGTATGTCTCCTATAGAACATCAGCATCGCCCCCTGCTTTCTTCACTGTGTGTGTGGGGGGAAATAAAGAAAAATAAACAGCTTACACTTACCCCAAACTCATTTTTTTTTTCTAATTAGCTACAGCTATAAAGGCTTATTGCTGAGGATGGACCGCTTATCTCTCCAAAAACAAATAAACAAAAACTTCTGTTGCTTTTCTACGATACCGATAAACAGCTCATACCTCCCTCCCCAACTCTAAAAACAACTGAAAAAAACCCCAAACCCTAAAGAACTGAGAAACAGATTATCAGATAAACAAACGAGTTAAAGGACCACTTTTAAAGCAGTGATGCAATTCAAGAAGTGACCGCGTTCGTCGGACCTTCAAGGAGAGAGGAAAACGGGCAAACGAGGAGTCGCATGATGCTGCCAGAAATTGCTTGATAGAAAATGCAGCGTCTTAACATTTTTAGCGGTGAAAAGCGGACAGGCCTTCAGTGGCGCAGGAACGGCTGCGCTAACCCCTCCAGCAGTCCTGTTTACACAACCACACCGAGCGAACGTGTCCCGTGACTCCCATCTTACAGCCTGGATTCATCCCCGTAACTCTTGCAACTTCTACATTAAACAGAGACATGGTCTGTCTTTTAGACAAACCATAAAAGCATCAGTAAAAGGAGAAAAACAAAATTTCAAAAGCCCTGCTTCATAAGCAATTTTAAATGTCAAATAATAATAATTAAGAAAAGACAAAAATACCGAGCCAGAGAGATATCTCGAGCCCAAAAGCTCAAAACACACAACCCCTCCTAACTGGGATCGTTCACATTTGCTAGCTGTGTGGAAAAACAACTCAAATGTCTCTTCTAGACTTCAAACACAGGGTTGTCTTGCAGCAACAACCTCTGCAGTAAACCGAATTACAATATAATTCAGTGAGAAATGAAAAATAAATAGAAACACCATCAGATATGGAGAAAACTTATTCTAACTCCGCATGCTTATGAAGAATATTTGAACTTGGCATTCGAAAGTTTCTTCTGCTGTTTCACCATGCCATGGGAATGATCTGACGTTTGTGCGGACAACTGAAACCCCTCCTGCGGTCTCAATCAGTTTAGTGATTAAAAAATAACATTTCTTCTGCACGTTTTAAGGGTAAAGAACTTTCTGGAGTTTATTACACCATCTGGTGCTACCTAAATCCAGTTCTACACTAACCTTACAGAAAGCTTGGGTATGCAATCAGGGCGCGTTACTGCAGGGCACTGAATACTGCAATTGCCGTTTCACATCGCCCACAACAAACTGTCCCAAAACAATACACAATGTTCTTTCTGTTTCTTGGATATAAAATATTTAGCAAGAAGGTCATAAATTGTCCTTTAGCGTTCATCCTTACAAGTCTGTTTGATCATCAGGAAGCCAAAGAAAAGTGATCTTTGCATTTTATTAAGCAAACACCCCCGAGTAAAGTGGCTGATATCCACTGTCTTCTCTCTTGCAAGTAAGCACACAGACACTCAGCATGCCGAAGAACTGAAAAAGAGAGAGGGAGGTTTAGTTCTGCTGTATTTTGTTTCAGTCACCAGACCCAACGCCTGTATGTTCATGAGACTTTCATCACAGTGAGGATATTCTTTTCATAATAAAAAACACTTAGAAAATACATCTACAGAAAGTGGGGGTTTTTTGCATATCAATTTCCAATAATAATTCCAGCTAAACTTTTTTTCTCCCTAGTTTCTCCCCTTAATTTACACATCCACCCTAATTCCTAGTTATCTCACTGTGGGAAAAAATTCAGTGAAAGCATGGGATTAGTCTGGACTTAAAACAAGCTCTGTAAAATATTTAAGCATATAAAATATGCAAATAAAGATAGTGAAGAAAATGCCCTACTAGATTTTTGGATCCCTCCCCTTATCACCAGGCAGAAGAAATGGAGAGAGTTGGAGGAAAACAAATGAGGAACAGACGACTGGGTCTGCTTCAGAGCCAGAAGGAGGCTGTAGGCTAATAGGACATGGTAGAAGAAAAAGCCCTGAGATCAAAGGGCAAACTATTATTTTCCTGAGGAAAAAGATAGAAACATTTACCTTTACAATGGCAAACCCCAGGATTACAAGCATAGCATAGCTGATAACGCTCTGCAGCCCAGACTCCAGCTCCTCTGCACAGCCCTGCCATGAAAGAGATAGGTCAAAACAAGTTAAAAGACATTAATTCAGCTGGAAGTTGTTTTTTTTTCTCTCCCCAACACTTCAAAGGAAGCAGGACCTTGTAAGGCCTGTCTAACCAACTCCTGCAGACCTGAGGGCTTCCGTTCTTGTCTTCCAGACCTGACGACTTGTCCATCTCCTCTCGCTTGAGGAGAGGCACTGACAAACCACAATTCGATGACATTTGCTGCTTCTCAATCTCCTCTAGCTCACGTGTGTTAGTGTTAAAGAAGTGCCCAAAACTCAGAGCCAGGAAGACCAGCAATGGTATCTATGAAAGTCAACTGACGGGCTTGTGCCCCAGACTGAAGGAGCTGGTATGCAGTTCTCCAGAGTCAGCATGGTCAGCCCTGGCAAAGTCTCTTCCCCTACCCCAGATCTATTAGAACACCTACGTGCCCACTCTGGCCTTGTCACATTGCTTCTGTAGCAACGGGAAATAGAGGAGTTACCAGACAAGACCAAACATCCAGACCGGTGTCCCTCCTTCATCATCTAGGAGCTTTCATAGAATTACACGAGAAGGAAGTTAGCTAGAGGAAAACAATGGGGAGAAAAGAGTTTGGGGGGCAAACTGCTGAGAAGGATTGGATGAAGTTATCCCTAAACCCTGCCTGAAGTGCTTTCCTCATTGGTTCTGGCTGGTTCAGAGAATGATCATGGCCCAACTGTGAAACCGTGCCCTTTATCCTCACCCGCGTGTTGAGCTCCTGCGGCTGATCCAGACGCCCTGTGCAATTCTTCACATCTTGCCTGCAGCAGCTCAGAGGGACGCTGTTGTTACCGGTGGAATTAAACCACTGTGTGGTTGTCCAGTCACTGTAGTTCTTCGCCCCGCAACAATGAAGCTGCCAAACACGGGACAGTTACAGGGACGTACGACTATATACGAACATGGATGCTAATGTGGAGTCAAGCCTCTCTCAGACATGCTGGGCAAGAGCTGCCCGCAGTATGCAGCGGATTTACAAGTAGCAGTACTTCAGGACAACAGCCTTAGATAAAATAGATCAACTTCCCTTCATACGTTATTACCTCCCTATTGGTTTATTCTTGGTAAAAGCTCTAATATTGAAGCGACAGCTTGCAGGAAAGTCTTCTGTCATCGTTCTATCTTATGGTACAGGATTCTTAGCAGCAGCTATTCACGTGCACTCATTTGGTCTGATCCAAAGGCCTCTCGTGTCAACAAGGTCATTAATTTATACGAACTTCGCACCAGGAGCCTGAAAAGGCCAACTCTACAAGGTGGGGAGCGCCCTCAGTTGCCTTGGAGGTTGTGATGCTAAACACTGCTGCAGAGCTGAGTTCCAGCATACGACCACACGAACCTTCCTCCCCTCCCTTCCCAGCCCAAATTCCTTGTTTAGGACCCAACTGGTCTTTTCTAAATAATTCTCAAGACAATTTAAATATTTTCTGACCTGTTCTTGCAAGTAATCCACAACAGTAGACTCTGGATTTTTCCCATCATACTTCTCAAAGACTGAGCGCATTGAGCCTTGCACGTCAGTTTTTACCTGTTCAGAGAGGAAAAAAACCCAACGTATTGTTTTAACATGAGAGCTCAGAATTTTAGCTAGGGGAAGCTGCAAAAGATCTGTAGCCCAACGAAGTCAGGGAAAAAAAAAAAAACAACCAAGAAAAACCAAACCACCAAGCAATGTTTTAGACAAAATGCAGGTGGCACTTAATCACGTTCCTGGATAGAAGCTTGCCTCTGCTGATGGAAGAGCCCTCCTTTGTGAGCATCAACGACTGTTTAATCCAACTTTGAGATTGCTGTGATGCCTGCCACGTATTTGATGTATTCACCAAGTTCCCGACAAAGACTGATCCACGTACTGGGTGGTGACAACACTGGATCTATTCTTTACTTTTAGGTTAGTACAGAGATGCTAATTCATTGCTTACCTTTTCCCTGTAAACAAATCCCAGGACAAAAGCAGCTACTTCTGCAATAAATATAACCAGGATAATGGCCAAGAACTGAAATTAAAAAGAGAGAGACTTTAAGGAAGAATTCCACAGCATTTTAATTCAATTGCACATTACCCATCACATTAACTTATAGCGGTAAGTTATCATTACCCGTTGTTACCTCTCCAATCAACATAGTTTCCAGAAAATAACTTAGAATAGATTACTGTGCATGGCTGGGACTGTGACAACACTCACCAGCCCTAGGCCAACTCGAGACTCCCGGCAGGTGGCACAGCAGCCGATCAACCCAATGATGAACATTACCACAGCAACGCAAATAATGATCACGGCTGGCAACACAGCATACTCGTCCTGCAGAAAGTTGTCGTAGCTCTTGTAGGTGTTAATGACGTAGGCCCCGACATAGCTGAGACCTGCTGCTGCCGCCTGAAATGCAACAAAGAGAAGTTCTTAGCAGCTTTTTTATTAAGCATCTACCCAGGAAAGTAAACGTGGACCTTTTTGTAACAGTGCAATTAACATTTCAACTTTAGGAGTCACGACTACAGCACGCAAAGATCTAGAAGAAAAAAAAAATGCTGCATCTGACACTAGCTACCCATTCAAACTTTAACACAGAGAAGAGAAAATTCACTTCCCATCAACCACTGCTCTCATAATGAAGCACCACTTTAGCTGGGCTGAAACATTGGAGTCTGCTGATGAGTCTCTGCAGAAGGCCAAGCTCACACTGCCCACCCAACATCCTACCTAACGCTGTGTTTGCAGCAGTCGGCCTTTAAGATGATCACCACAGGGCTGGGTTGTTGGTTTGGGGCTTTATTTTTTTGGAGAAAAAACCTCATCCTTTCCAGTCTCGCAACAGCATTAACCACTAAGACAGGCACAAATGTTCTTCATCTCAGCAAAACACAGTCCCTCCTTTTCCTGGACGACAGATTTCTGCATCCTCCAAAATAAACTCTCCTCCAAGAGGATGTTTTGCTGATGGAGGCCAACAGAGGGTGCACCAGTGCCCAACTGGCAGCCCTGGTGACTGAAGGCTTTTATCTGCAGAACTGGGTACAGCCATGGAAATAACACCAACAGACTCAGCAATGCCCTGACAATGCCTCACCGATGGCATAAAAAAGAATTCTCTCAAGAGTTACAACAGCTCATCCACCCTTTATAATCCTGCAGCACAAGATGACGCCCGTAAAACGAAGCACCGTCTGTACTCACATTCTGGAAACTTGATGGAAACCAGTCTGTTTGTTTTCAATAGGCTACAGCTGGATTTCATCACGCAGCTTACGAGCAGTTCGTTACTTCCCCTAGTGCTGTACGTTTTAATTAAATCAAACACTCCTCACACTCGAGCTAAGACTTGCTAATTCCTTTACCTTGTATGGCTCCTTCCCCTCCAGCCAGGTCTGGTGCCTGCCCTTCAATTACCTCCAAGTGCAGGGGACATCCTTCGTTTCAGACAGCTCTCATCCCGCTCCACTCTTGCATTCCTGGACGCTGCCTGTACCTCAAAATTACCGGGATCAGATGCACCAAGTGATGAAACCAAGATCAAACTAACCCTTAGAGACATTTAGCACATGTCATGCAAGATCCTGCTGTGCTGGGGCTCAGATACAGCAGGTCCTCTACAAAGTGAGGTATCAGGAAAAGGAATGGGATCACCCATTCTCAAGAGGGTTTTTTCCTTTTCCAGAGTCATTGGGGTTTCAAGCAGTGCTAAATTAAAGCACTTCCTAGAACTTCCTTTAACTTTTCCTCTCATTGAGGAAAATCTCTTTCCCATTTCCCTGCCTGCAGGCATACAGTGACCAGGGCTTCCTCCTCCCACCCCCTTTTTTAGGGATGCAGGGAAAGGATGAGACCACTTTAGCTCAAAAGGGCACCATTGCCTTCTCACTTCACCACCATGAGCAACGTCGCCCCTTCCTCCTCCAACACTATGCTCTTACACTGAAAGTGGGACAGAAGAGGTCCCTGGAGGGGTAGCAGCACTAAAGGAGGGTCTGGGGACACTGCGCCTCCGTCCTGCCTTGCCTTCAGCTGCACAAACAGAGCGAGGCGTACGACTCAAAAAGCGCAACCCATATTTGTGGCCTGGAGAGCTGGATGAACGTGCGACTGTCCCCCTATTCTCCGTCCTGGAACAGCATCATCTGGGCATCTATAGAGAAGGAAGCAACACTTGTAGGCTAACTATCCATCATCATGGAGAAAATGTGGGATTTGCCCAATATATCCTTTATTTCTAATATTTTCTAGGACTATCAAGCACCGTGATTGGCCATGTTGGCCCCAAACCCAGTGAAAACAATGCAGATTCAAGACAGGGGATGCAGGGGCGCTTTTATTAACCGCAGAAATGCTCTGACTGGCTGGGCCAGCACCAGCTCATACAGTTCCTAAAAGGATTCAGAGTTTGGTCCCTGCTCCCATGGAAGCTGTATAAAACATCCAAGTGACCACAGCAGGAACAGTGTGATGCTCTGGGTTGACTTAAAAACTCCTCCCTACTCTTGCATGGCAAAATCTATTCCACGAATAATGCCACAGTTATCGTCACAATCGTCCCATCCCGACTATGACCCCTGACTGCATTTGTTGCTGGGTTTTGAGGCCCTCCTGGTAAACATGGGTATGGCTGGAGAGTAACGGTATTCTGGTTCCTCAGGTTTTGGGGAAGTTTCAGTCCATGACTCTGCAGCATGCACCAAGTCATAACCCTGTGCCACGAATACAGCTACAACAGGGTGATGCTCCCAGCCACCCCAAAAATCACCTCGTCCTTGGTCTCTCTGCCGCTGCCACCACCGCAAACCTAACGCAGAGCTGAGTTATGGCTTTAAAAAATTCGAGGCTAGAGAAAGTACTTCCAGGTAGTCACCCTAAACCAAAGGTGGAGCTGACCATTAGCAGCAGGAAGCCTCCTGCACGTGCATGTTTAAACCGAGCGCTCGCATCTGGGCACAGCCACTAACGAGGATGTTTTTCCTGAGGCCTTCGGTACAGCTCAGCACCCGTGTTGGGATGTCCCACCACAGCTGGCATGAACCGCCGAGCGCTCACAGAAAACCAGAAGGACTGCAAGACCCTTAGAAAGGTTCCTGGCGGAGGAAGGCAGTCCCTGGGGGAAGGGAGAGACTTTACTGCAGGAAGGGCAGCGCGGACTGAAAAGCCGGGGTACAAAAAGCCATAAATGGTGGTTTTGGCAAGTAAATCAGTCATCCGCACTCAGCAGCAATGTCGTGTCAAGATGCGCACAACGAAACAGCCTCGTGACTGAGTTAATGTGTAAAAGTTACCGTGCAAAGTTAATCATTTGTCGTATTCAGAGAAGGTAAAGCCCTGCTCCTTTGCGTAACTCTGGTCCCAGCCTTTGCAAGTAGTTCTGTACATCTAAAGACAGGCCGCTTCATAATTTAGTCTTCCTACAGGATGGTTTACACAAAAGAATCCCCCAATATTTCCACTATCCTTCTGCGGGGGATTTAGATGACAGACACGTTCTTCATCTCTCGTCTGGGTTTCTGCCTATTTTCAGCGTGCTCAAGACCCAGCACAAAGGAAGGACGCACAGGAAACGCTAAAGACGGACCATCTGTGGGAAATGAAGAAGTTCTTACTAAAGGGCTACCACAAATTCCAAAACACATTGTGAAGGCAATTCACAGGAGTCCTATAAAGCCAGGACTAGCAAAGCTCCATGACAGTATGCCACCTTCATCGAGTTCAAGCTTAATCAGTGCAAATACAGACTGGTGCTTTCATGGTGGGTTTTATTGCGACATTCAGGATTGTCTGGGTTCTGGTCAGAGATGAAACACAGCCAGCAAGAGGTCTATTGTGATTTCCAAACTTCTGCTTCCAAGCAGAAAAAGGAAGCATAATGAGGTAAAAATAAAAGCCTTTGGGTAAAGATCTGGCTTAAGGGAAGCCCCCACAAACTGAGATACCAGAGTTTTGAATTCAAAGTGAAGATTTTGAAGTCCCGGGTCACCCAGGAGTGGAAGGTGTTTCAGCTAACGATTTGTTCCCTGTTGTATTTTTGCAGATGAGTCCCAGAGCCAAACTTGGAAAGCAAAGATGAAAAATATTTTGGGACATAAACCTTCAGCCTTCCCAGTACTTAAGCCAAGTTCAAAATCTGGCAGAGGGATTTGCCCCTTGACATTGCAAAACCTTCAGCCCATTCCTAGATCGAAGATGAAACTTCTCTAGAAGAGAAGTACAAGAAGAAATGCCCTTTGCACTGCTGAGTAGAGACCTTAAGTCAAAAGTGTAAAGTATGCCAGATTAAAGAGGTTTCTGTTCGATCTCGAAAAAGAAAGAATCTTTAATGAATACAAAGGCCAGTTTAAGCGATTCCTTTTGGGGAGGAAGAGATCAATTCCTTCTTCATGACTAGTCAAACACCTTCTCAAATACATCTAAAATTATATACAAGGTGGTGTCATGGGTTGAGGCTG